ACATCCAGTTCAGGGTGGCTGCGGAGCGACACTTTCACCACATCCCTAGCTCTGCCTGTTAGCCTTGACATTATCAGGTCGAACATTTCCTCATGAGTGTCACATTTAATCCTATTCATGTAACATTTCATCATGTCCTCCCATTCATGAACTGAGAATGTGTCACTATGGTTACCCCTGAAGTAAGGTGGAGCCTTTGATTCAGACTGCACAACAACCTTCAAATGTGACAAACCATCATGACTGGATGACTGACTCGTAGCAGAATTAGGCTGGATGACACTGGGTTGGTGAATAGCACTAAGGCTGGCTGAGATGTTTTCCCCAATCTGTCTAGCCAAGTCTGTAATCAACTCCCCAAATGTATCGACAGAGATGACTTGATGAATGGTGTGGAACTGGCAGCGGGGGCCAAACGTGGATCAACAGCCGACTGATCAACTGCGTAGTTGAGAATATTGGGCAACATAGACCTACCCCTACCAAAACTAGGAGAAGCAGCCTGCTGACCCCTCCCCACCCCAAAAGTAAAGTCATGCCCATGACCAGCCATAGCTCAAAGATCAAATGTACCACCCTCTGATATCACAATATGCCCAGAAAACTTGTAAAATAAATACCAATGAAGAGAAAAATAAAAAAACAGGTTATCACTCTCAGTACAGGTATAAAACAGATATAGACATCAAACATCACCACAAGATGAATACAAAAAATATATAAATTAAACAAATATAAAAAGAGCTAATTCTACACAGAATATAACACTCTACATACACGTTTTCAAAAATGTACCCTTTTTTCCATGCCAAAAATAACCCCTAAATGCACTCTCAGGCCACCATAGCCTCGCAAGCATAAGAAAACAAAATGGACTGAGGGATAGAGAGAACAAAATTAAATAAAAACACACTCCATCCCTCGTCACAATAGACACACCTCCCGCGCTCGGGTACGAGCGCTGTTCAAGGAGTCCACCGAGCGGGGAGAAGGGAGGGAGAAGACGGGAGTCCGCAGCTCTCTCCCGGCAGATCAGACGAGCGCCGATCGGGGATGCAACGGGTCAAACGGCACCAAGTGTAACCGGTGTGGTTAAGCGGTCTCTGCGTTGTGTTGATAATGGACGAGACCCGAGCCAGCGTAAAGTTGAGACGATCTGTTTAATGACTGACAGATAAAAACGATCAGTTTTACATCAGTTTCCCTCAGTGACTCCTGTCACGTGCAACGTTTACAAAAAGGCAGAGGAAACGGGAGGGACACAATATATAGGGGGGAAAGTCCTCACAACAATGAACTCCTGAGCACAGCGACCACACTTCAGAGGTTCCGCCCACTGATCTCCGTCCTTGCCAGGTATTTAACATTCAATAAAATGAAGAACACAGAATAAAATAATATAAAACACAGAATTTGTGTGATTATACAAAATTAAATTAAATAAACCCCACTGCATATTTACATCTGTTACATTAGCATACATGTGAAGTTTGAGCACTTTTTGAAAATGTTCATAGGAGTTATACATTACATTAGGAGGTTACATTACCCTCTATCTTCTCTTGATCGCCCTCTCTCTCTTCTCTTGATCGCCCTCTCACTCTTCTATCACCCTGTCTCTCTTCTCTTGATCGCCCTCTCTCTCTCCTCTTGATCGCCCTCTCTCTCTCCTCTTGATCGCCCTCTCTCTCCTCTTGATCGCCCTCTCTCTCCTCTTGATCACCCTCTCTCTCTTCTCTTGATCGCCCTCTCTCTCTCTCTCTTCTCTTGATTCGCCCTCTCTCTTCTCTTGATCACCCTATCACTCTTCTATCACCCTCTCTCCTCTTCTCTTGATCACCCTCTCGTCTCTTCTCTTGATGTGTCTGTGAGAGAGAGGGAGAGTGTGTGTGGTTTGTGTGTGTGTGTGTGTGTGTGTGTGTGTGTGTGTGTGTGTGGTGTGTGGTGTGTGCTGTGTGTGTGTGTGTGTGTGTGTGAGAGAGTATGTGTCTGTCTGTCTGTGTGAGAGAGAGAGAGTGTGTGTGTGTGTGTGTGTGTGTGTGTGTGTGTGTGTGTGTGTGTGTGTGTGTGTTGTGTGTGTGTGTGTGTGTGTGTGTGTGTGTGTGTGTGTGTGTGTGTGTGTGTGTGAATTGTTACAGCTCAAATGCATTGCAATGACTTCCATGTTAAAAAAAGACTTTAAAAAAGCTGAATGTTTTAAAAAGTATAACATATTTTGAAAAAGTTGAAAGTTTCCCCATCATGTGCTGAAAAGGCTGAATAGTTTGATATTTGAATGGTTCCTGCAGCTGAAATTAGGCTGAAGGAGTTAAATAAAGATATTAAGGCGCCGTTTACACGAGGACAAAACTGCTTGTATCTGCATAGTTTCGCGTGCGTATAGCCCTATTATTTACACGAGGCCGATAGAAACGGACCCCACAAACGATAACGGGTCCCAAGGTGGATAGATTTGCAAACGAAACACTCTGGGGGGTCAACCGAGTCCGTGTAATCACCTCTATACGAATATTTCCTGAAAAAATAACGATAGCCCCACCTCTCCTCACCTCTCCCCACCTCTCCTGCTCACTGCTGTAGCATGGCCAGTAGCCATCTGTAACGATCAACTATCAAAAATAGCTGTGTTAATTAAACGCACAAGGGGTTCTTGAATGAAATAATATTATAAAAGGCAAACCAGAATTGTTAACGCCCAATATACTCCTTAAACAAAATAAACAGAGTCAGATTTCATGTATTGATCCATTATATTGACAATTTTCCAGCCAAACAACACAAACAAAATTAAACAGTCCACTCTGCGATACACCAAAATTGTCTTTACTGCCTAATCCAGGCCATTATTGTTCATTGCAGGCTATAATCCACACAAAAAAAGGAAACACGAGGACCGGCGTGTCCCAGAGGAGCGATCTCACCCGGTGTTTGTAGAGAATATCTCTCTTTCTGAGCGCGTCCTCTCCACGGAGACGTGCTTCTTGGTCGGTCAATGCAATATCCACAGATTCGGTTTCTTTCAGTTAACTTCCCCGTTGCATTTATCCATATATTTACATGCTGAGGAAATTACTATATCCCGCTGAATACCAGCAAATCGCCACACACACTTCCTCCTGTCAGTAGCTACTGCTAGTGCTACTGCTACTGACCATGTTACAGATATTAGTGCAAAATCTACAGCTCCTCTACCACAACCATCAGCAACAAGTGGACATGGAGAATTACATGAACTACTACATGTTGCTAAATCCACCGCGGGGCATAAACAGAAGGGTAGCCATGGCAACATTGCTGTTTGAACAGACACGTTAAATGAAACGAATGCATGTGAATGGAAGACTTTTTTGAATACGCATACTGTGCATAAACGCAAACGTTCCCGTGTGCACAACGCCTAAATGTAAGTAGTAGTGAATGAATGTTTACAAACACCTGTGTGTGTAAACCCAGAGATGAAAGGTTACCATGGTGACGATTTATGACGATTTACCAACTGCAGCAGTCCCATTAAGAATGCATTGAGGATTATATCTGACAATTTTGCCACCTGTTCAAAAACTATGGCTCCTATCAAAAAATTACCAGACGTGAGCATCAGGGAACCCCAATGAACTGATATATGTTGTTTTTTTTGGTTTTGTGTGTAAAATGTGGAGATGGGAGCAGTTTGTCTAAAGTGTACTTCTCTCTGTTCTGAAGAAAGTTCCGGAAAGATTTAACATGGGAATCAATTGGGAGCTAGCTGGACTTGTTGTCACTTCATGCCCTCAAGAGGCATTTTGTTTAATTTTTTTTCTTAATTTTTTTTTATTTTCCAAACTAGGAGAGGTTTTCCTACGTTTTTCATGAAAAATGATGTCTGAGGAGTGTAGGGTTTGGGAATTATGGCAGGTTTAAAAAAAAAAAATTGGGAGAATTTCAAGCACTCTTCCACTCTGTTTTGTGATCAAAGCACTCTAGACTTAACGAGCTGCTCCATCCATACTAATGTTAAAATCTGAAGAAAGCCTCTCTACCAAGCTCCAAACTAAGTTAAATATCTCAAGAAGTGTAAAAGATATGAAGAATCTGAATAACAAGTTTTATAGCTGAAGGTGTTGTGATCATTTGAAAGTTGGAATGAAGTGTCTAGCTGAAAGTATGTTGAAGGAGAAGCATTTGGCGCAAAGTGTAGGAAAAGAGGATTTGAAGGCATCTCCCATTGACTTCAATGTTCAAAAAAAGAGTTTAAAAAGCTGAATATTTAAAAAAGTATAAAATATTTTTAAAATATCGATTCCTGAACAGGCTGAATAGTTTAATATTTGAATGGTTTCTGTAGCTGAAAATAAGCTGAAGTTATGGAGAGCCAAAGTATTGGCTGAAATAAGTGGAAAGAATAAAGATTTGAAGTACTATAGTGGAATGCTGTGGCACAGCATTCGCACTAATAAGGGGAAGAATAAAGAATTGAAGTACTATAGTGGAATGCTGTGGCACAGCATTCGCACTAATAAAGAATTGAAGTACTATAGTGGAATGCTGTGGCACAGCATTCGCACTAAGTAGAAAATCAAAGATTGAAATCCTGCAGTAAGCTAAATGTAATATTGCATTGTATCATTTTGAACCAATCAGCTGTGACCTGTACTTTTTCCTGACCAATCAGCGTCTAGTAACACATTCGTCCTGATTGACCTCCGCAGTCCGCACACTGCAAACTGAATAGCCAAAAGAAGCTACCAAGAAGTAACAACAGTTAAACAGGAAGAGAGGTTTCCCACCTTCACATTAAAAGCGATTCTATTTTCAGATGGGTGCAAAGTTGGAGTAAATGAAATAAATACATACATAAAATGTGTAAAATACAAATATTTAACTTCTTTATTCTTTGATTACATTACAATTAGATTACATTTCATTTAAATATCACACAGTGCATGCTTCTTTTTATTTTGAACATCGTAAACAGGAAGTTGGATTTCCGGCGACTTTCCCACGGAGAAAGCTAGCAACTAGACATTCATATTAAGCTAGCTGCTTCATCACTGGCTGCCAGCTTCGGTGTTCTCGGGCTGCATTTACAGTGTTAGTTATAGGCCGACGACAGTTTTACAGAAAATGGCTCTGCTAACGACGTTATTTGCGTTCCTGTACCACCTGCCGCAGGTGTACAAGTGGCTTCTGAAGCCTTACTATGTAGCCTCTCTATTTATGTCCATAGCCTTTCTAGCTGTCCGAAAGACGCCTGGCATCTGCGACCAACTGAACACACAGCGAGAGGACGGCAACCCCTGCGACTTCGACTGGGTCCGTAGACATTTATAATTGTATATATTGTAATAATAGGTACCGTATGAAGTTACTAGCGAGCTGGTAATCGGGCAGGCTTACGGCAAGAGCTAGCGTTAGCTGGCAGGTGTCCTTAGCTGTTAGCTACAGGGAGAATGACAGGCCGAACTATGGTCACAAACCTGCAAATTCATAGTCTTTTGCTTTTTGCCAGAGATATTCAAAAACTCAACGTAATGCATCACTCTTTTAATTAATTAAGAGATGTATACTAAATACGGCTCATTGTAAATCAGCGTTTATTCTAGTACACGAATAACAGTAACGTGGATCCCTTCAGTGTTGGTTTGAGTTAGCAAGCTAACGTTAGAGGACATCACTGATCCAAACTGCACCATCAGTACGAACGAATGAATGAAAAATGATCATTTATGATGAGTAATGAATCATATTATTTAATGCCAGAAATCAAATGAAACGTAATGCAATTAATGTACTGTTAACATACACCTTAAACAAAGAATATCGATGAATAAATTAGTATTTTTCTGTGGAATAACCATGTGACCTGTTTTGACCTCTTCATAGGATCCAAAAAAAAAAAAAAAAAAGAACTGGTTCATTGCAATCTATCCAACAATCCCCAAAGCAGCCACTGTCTGTCACTGACCATCTGCCCAGTGTTTCCCCAATATTCAAGAAAGCTCCTAAGATTTCACAAAATCATTGTAAAAAAAAACGTTTAGGGCCGGGAAATATATAATATACTTGATCTGTTTTCATTGTAATCTTGTGATTTCCAACCACGTCGTTTTATTTAGTAATAAGCACATTTTAACTCAAATGTATTTCAAGGTTTTAATCACGACACATTTTACATTACAACCCAACCAGTGTCTGATTACTAAGACACTTTTGAGAAAAATATTCTTCATTTATGAAATCGTTTTTATCATGAATTTAAAAAGTGTTTATTTGTCACATATTTAATTCTTACAGGAATTTACAATAAAGGCTTCATAATGTGGTATTCATCATTTCCTATAAACTATTTAAGTATTGATTTGGCAGAAATAATGCTATAATTGATAGCAAATCAACAGTATGAAGGTCCCGCCTACACACCTGCCTGAGCCAATCACAAGCTTAGCACTGCCACAGCTTCTTAGCAGCAGCCACCGAGATGCTACGTCAGCACCAAGGTAGCTGTTCGGCTAGAAAGAGCACCACTAACCATAATGTCTCTATAAATACATTCATTAAACAATGTGCATGTTCTTTTAGACTGTTTTGTGTTTCATATATGTTAATAACAGTAAAGTCTGTAAATGTCTTCTCTGTGGTTCCCAAACACATAGAGGGATTTCAAAAAAATACTCAACTTGTTTCAGTTTCTTTGTTTGTGACCAAATGAAATGTGATCATTGCAGTAGGTTAGTTACAGCTGTCAGAATTCAGTACATGAATAACAGTAACGTTGATCCATTCAGTAATGTTTGAGTTTGAGCTAGATAACGTTAGAGGACAAGGATCCAAACTGAACCATTAGTACTAACTAGTTAGTGAATGAATCATGTTATGTAATGCCAGAAATCTAATTATGAAATTAATTTACCGTTAACATACACCTGCATACAAAGAATGAATAACTAACTATTTTTTGTGACCTGTTTGGACCTCTTCAAAGAATCCAAATCAAGAACTTTTTTTTCTCCTTTATTCAAGAATATATATTATATATGCACACAAAACATTGATTTCAGGGGTACAAAATAATGATTAAACACAAAAGACAATATTTCAAGTAAATATTTATCAAATTTGATTTTGATTGCCTTATTTTTTTAATAGTGGTGCCATATTGTAAGTACAAATATGCAACATTAGATTTAGAGTCAGTCTTTTCCTTCTTGTGAATGTGTCATTTTCAGACGGTACACATTCTGTCAGCAGTTCTCTTTGTCACTTGTCCCTCATACTGACTTCAGTGCAGTATTTACACGAAACATGACATCACAGTGTCCCAACATGTCCTAAGCTCTCTCTGGGTGGATAACAGAGTTTATGTTTGTGTTCTCAGAGGGAGGTGGAGATCCTCATGTTCCTCAGTGCCATTGTCATGATGAAGAACAGACGAGCGAGTGAGTAAACAACATCCTGTTTTATTCTCAGAGTTCCTCCTGAGCAGCATTATGAATATATGGCATTTCTTAGTCTGATACCTGGCTGATAAAGAAGCAGCTTCCGGAAGTCAGAGTAAATTAATACATGATTCTTTAACAGTCATATACCTGTGCTGCTCAGGATTTCAAATGAGCATCATGAACCCTGCTGATGTGGATGTTTTTTGGACAAAGAATGAACGTTTCTGTATGTTTTCATGTCAGTTACGGTGGAGCAGCATTTGGGCAACATCATCCTGTTCAGCAAAGTGGCCAACGTCATCCTGTTCTTCAGACTGGACATCAGGATAGGCCTGCTGTACCTGACGCTCTGCATCGGTCAGTCCACCTCACACACTGCTTCCCGTCCTGTCGTCAACAAATCCAATTCAAAATGCAACGCAAATATAGTGGATGTTTATCCATTACTTCAAGTTCCTATGCCGCTTTGTCTGCAAGGATATAACGATATATTCTGTGTTCTAACTCGGGACCTCATGTTTCCCTCTCTGTTGTCTCAGTGTTTCTGATGACCTGTAAGCCTCCTCTCTACATGGGACCAGAGTACATCAAGTACTTCAGCGACAAAACCATCGATGTGAGTAAAAAACATCCGTAGTGGTAGAAGTGTGTCCATTTTTACTTATCCTTTTATTTTTTTTAAACATACGTATAATACAAATTATATAAATACTTTCATGGTCTCCTCCGTACGTTATTAGGACATACATCCAATCGAATAAAGATGAGCAGTACGCATACTGCACCTCTCTTAACAACAGTGAATGAACCATACAATAACTGTAATATTACCCAAACAATAACCACAAATACAGTGAATCAAATGAAATGAAAGGAGGGCCAAAAAGGTTTGACGAGAGTTCTGGTATGAGCTGTGTCAATGGTGACCATCTTTCAAAAAACCTGTTTGTTTTCAACATTAATCTTGCTGTGATATGAACATTAGTTTTGGCATTACAAATCTGAAGTCCCAGGCTCCTCCAACACTGTGACATAGAATAAGCCTTATACGTAAAACAATAAAACACGAAGAAATAGAAATAAAGTCTGCAAGAGTTTAGTGCCAGTGACACAATGTGCAAGTCAACAAGGTCAACTATTTATATGTCAAATAGAATAAGATCAAAATAAAAACGTACAGTGGAATAAAATACTGCTTATTGTAATAATGAGCTGTTCACAGATATATGTTATGAACATATTAAGGGGAAGTGATGCAGTCTTATAGCCTGTGGGGAAAACTGTCCCCCCCCCCCCTCCCCCCTCCCTTTTTGTTCATGTATTTGATAAGAAAATCCAAATTGTCTGTGTCCAGGATGAGTTGGACAGAGACCCTCGTGTGACCTGGATCGTTGAATTCTTCGCCAACTGGTCTCCAGAGTGCCAGTCCTTTGCCTCCGTCTACGCTGATCTGTCCCTGAAGTAAGACTCGGTCCCAGGCTGAAGTCCCTCACATCAACACGAGCTCTCTGAGTAACTTCCTCTGTCTGTGTTCCAGGTATAACTGCGCCGGTCTCAAGTTCGGTAAAGTGGACATCGGACGTTATGGAGAGGTTTCCAAAAAGTACGACATTTCATTCGGTCTTCAACAAGTCTTGTCCTACGTTGACTTCTGTAGTGAGGACTGATGATGATGTTGTGTTGTGTAGGTACAAGGTGTCCGCGTCCCCGCTGTCCAAGCAGCTGCCCTCCCTGGTGTTGTTCCAGGGCGGGAAGGAGGTGATGCGCCGCCCCCAGGTGGACAAGAAGGGAAGAGCCGTGTCCTGGAGCTTCACTGAGGTCAGGCTCATCATGTTGTCAATACAATGTATATAAATAACTCTGTGGTGTTCTCAGTTAAAGCTGCCAACCAGCCACATGTGGGACAAAGAGCATGCTACTGCAATGATAAGAGCTGGTTTATATTTAAATATAATGTCCATCCAACCCTTAAAATAAACATTTCTATTGAAACTATTAGCTTATAAATATTGACAACAAAGCTTTATTATGGGTTAATTGTTTGCACAAACTATGCAAGTGAAGGAATTAAATATACTTAGTTTGAATGGAAATATTTTCCGACAAACTATCGTCCGTAAATATTTCATTTCTGTGCGATCTGTGTCTGGACAAATGAGCGCAGCTGCTTACTGCCCAGCCTGCTGACCTGTCTGCACAGAGTGGCAAAGCCGCTGTTACCAGAGGCCTGTACTATGAATCCAGTTCAACAGACCCTGGATATGTTTGAGTTAACCGGCTTACCTAACCCAAAACAAACGCGCTCTCGCTAAGCGGTCCTATGACGCTGGTTATCAACTCGGTAACTCAAGCCAGGGTTTCTCTGTCCGGCTGAGTGCGCGTTCACATGAAAGGGGCGGGGCTAGCCACATTTGACCAATCACAAACATGGAGAAGCGTACTGACAGCGCAGCGTCATACTTCCTGAATGAAAAGAAAACTATAATATTAGACATATGAAGAAGTTAAACTTTAAACATCCATGACTTAAACACTTTATCCAGGATCAAAGCCACATAGCTGCACCTGCAAGGTGAATACAGCTGGTAAAAGAAAAAGTGTTTGAATGCGTACATTAACAGGTTTATGATATCACTGCCCCGTCTAAGACACGATCTGACTTTAATTACATTTGACTCGAGTGTTTCGTCAACTTAATGTGTTGCTTAAAATAATACTTCTGCATACAGTATGTGACACTGTGAGTGTTGCACGGCCAGATACGGCTCAAGAAGCTGACTCAGATAAGGAAATATATGATACATTATGATGTGATATGATATGAATGATAATGGGACACATCGACGTCTGCACTCACAGTGCCGCGGACTGTACTTAATGTTACTCTGATCCGGTTACTTATGTTAACTTGTGGCAGATATTTAAGTAAGCTTTCTTAACGCTAATGTTATATTAGTCAGATTGCTCTGAAGATGGGAGGTGATATTCTATTCATTTTCACGTCAGGTAGTGACCGGTCTCCAGTCAGCACCGATGCAGACTCGCTGTTTGAGGGCTTGATAACCCACTCCCCCTCCACACCGCTCCACACTTGTTGGTTTGGAACAGCACTTAATGTGGCGGACCCTCCGTGCGAACGCGCAAACGGAGGGGTAGTGTGTAGGGGTAGGGTGTAGGGCGTGGTTTGGGATTGGGCCACAGTAACTGTTTAAAGTCACTTCAGCCCACTGTCGTTCAGATTTTCAAACCTCTGGTCACTGTGTGTCTGTGTGCACGCCGCAAATGGATCAACAATGACCTCATCTGCAATCAGACCTTGTTGCTTTGTGTAGTGAGGAGGGCTGCCCTCTACTGAAGAGTGTTGTAGTCCACAAATGGTCATCAATTCATCAAATAGAATGTGCAACTGTAATAGACAGCCTTTGATATATCACACACACACACACACACACACACACACACACACACACACACACACACACACACACACACACACACACACACACCGAGCATTTAGTTGATTTATTCTATCTATCATCACACACAACTTGTGGATGTGTAATTAAGTTGTAACACCAACAAACAAATAAACAACTGCTTTCTTTAAAAAAAGTGATAATAAACATTACCGTTTATATTTCAAATGTAAATAAATATAATAAGCCAATATATAAAACAGAGCAGTAAAAAATAAGATGTGTTTTACCTAAGTGCATGAAACAATGTTACCGTAGAAAAGAAGACACAAAGATATTTCATATAAAAAATGTAGTATCAGTAAAGGTTTACAAATGCTGCTTAAGCTTAATACATTCATCAAAAGCAAACTATGAAGTTGAGTTTGACCCCCCCCCCCCCCCCCCCCTCTCTGTCTCCCCAGGAGAACATCATCCGAGAGTTCAACCTGAACGAGCTCTACCAGAAATCCAAGAAGCTCAACAAGAGCAAAGGAGACAAGCTCATGCAGTCCCAGTTCCCCCCCGTCCCCGAAGAGGACGAGCCCGAGCAGCCTGGGACCCCCGCCGAGGAGGACGTGGTCGAGTCCAAGAAGGACAAATAAGACGGATTGTACCACTCAGCTTTCACTTCTGGATGGAACATGTGGGTCCAGCCAGCTGCTCCCCCCCCCCTTCCTCAGTGTTCAGGTGTGGATCATGGTGTGCATGAAAACAGCCACAGTAGCCCCCGCCTCTTTAACACTAGACCCCCATATAACCCCCGATACAGCTGCTCTATAAAGATACAGAGCTGCAGAGGAGACTAGTTTCTGGGGGGGTGCTAAAACCTGCTCCAGTATATTTCATTGTAAGCCCCCCCCCCCCCCCCCCCCCCCCCCCCCCGTGTGAGGGTTGAAGGGATGCTCTGGCTCTCTAGCAGTGTGTGTGAGCGGCCCCTCTCTAAGGTGTGTGAGCTGCAGCAGACAGAGCCCCCGCTTTATCCACCCCCCCCCCCCCAGGAGAGCCCCCTGTCCCTTTATAGCTGTGAATCTGAGTGAGGCGGAACTTCTTACTAACTGGCAGTAAGGGAGCACAGAATGTGATGCTACTTTGTTGTTCTACATTTTTATTCAACTAATTTAATTAGAGTAGATTTTTCAAATGATTTTCTGAATAACTACATTAATGTAAACACAAATAATACATTTCCAGTGATTGGAGCGCTGGTTACACGTTAGCATGAGTCGGTGGTGACAGAACTCAGAACCAGCTGTTGCTTTGTATTCGGTGTACGAGCGTTCTCTTTTATACTGATGTTTTTTACTTTTCTTTTGTCAACAAGCTCACCTTTATTTTTCTGTTTTTAGTTATACGCGCTCAGTGGTACTCCGTGTTCTACAGTTGATCGCTTTGGTTACAATAACTGTTCTAAATGACTTTTTTTGTTGACAACATCCTCAGGATGAAGAGCAGCTTAACTGAACAGTTTTCCTCTCTGGGAGATGCTATTATGGTCTGTCTCTCCGGCACCGTCATGCTGCTGTGTGCACAGAGCCTGTCCTGCACACTGATTGGCTGAATCCTGATACTGTTGTCAGGTTAGCTTCATGATGTATTTTTGCAGTCTGTTCCTAATAACACACTCCCTCTTTACTCTAGATTTATTTCACATCATTTCCCGCTAACATTCCTCATCATGATTTTGAGCTTTTTTCCTCTTGTAGTAAACTGTTAACAGACGCACACAGGAAGTGTTTGAATGAGCTTTTTGAGACACTGACTTTATTCCTTAATCGTTTTTTAATAATAATTTTGTATTGTACGCTTATTGTGATTTTGATTTGACCTTTTGTCATGTTGCATTTCATTTGAGCTGCATTCCAAGGCTGTGTGAATCTGCTGCTGTACATGAAGGCAGGAGCCTGTTTGTTTTTCATGCAATAAAACAATGTGTACATGAACTCAGCCTCCATTATTCCTATGTGTGTGTCATTACACTCGGGGAGACACACTCCTGTCCACAGGAGTCCAATACAGCAGACAGTTTAACGAAGAGTGTTTCATTGCACTGATGTAGTTATAATGTACTGTACAAGTTACATTTACTCAAGTACAGTTTTGACTCCACTACATTTATTTGACATTGTTACGTCTAGGGGGACCTGAGGCCTGTACTACGAAGCTGGATTTTCGCTTAGCCGGCTAACTTCAGGGAAATCTCGGGCTTTCCGGTCCTACGACGCTGGTTCTCTTTTTAGCAGGCTAGATTTCCATGGTAACTTATGCTGAGCGGCAAACCTGCTCCGGAGCAGGTTAGGTGGCAGGCTAATCAACTCAGTGAAAGCACTGCCTGCTGACCAATCAGAGCTCCGTATGCGGAGTTTAAAGCGATCAATTCATATTACAGGATAGAGGAAATACAGAAAAACTGCCGTTGCAGGAAAGACGGCCGGCAAAAATCAACTGACTGTGTGAACGTGAAAATGAATAGAATATCACCTCCCATCTTCAGAGCAATCTGACTATTATAATATTAGCGTTAAGAAAGCTTACTTAAATATCTGCCACGACATAAGTAACCGGATCAGAGTAACATTAAGTACAGTCCGCAGCACTGTGAGTGCAGACGTAGATGTGTCCCATTATCATTCATATCATATCACATCATAATGTATCATATATTTCCTTATCTGAGTCAGCTTCTTGAGCCGTATCTGGCCGTGCAACACTCACAGTGTCACATACTGTATGCAGAAGTATTATTTTAAGCAACACATTAAGTTGACGAAACACTCGAGTCAAATGTAATTAAAGTCAGATCCACTCGTGTCTTAGACGGGGCAGTGATATCATAAACCTGTTAATGTACGCATTCAAACACTTTTTCTGTTACCAGCTGTATTCACCTTGCAGGTGCAGCTATGTGGCTTTTATCCTGGATAAAGTGTTTAAGTCATGGATGTTTAAAGTTTAACTTCTTCATATTTGACTAATATTAAAGTTCACTTTTCATTCAGGAAGTATGACGCTGCGCTGTCAGTACGCTTGTCCGTGTTTGAGATTGGTCGAATGCTCCAAATACCACCCCTTTCATGTGAACGCGCACCTAACTAGATAGGACACGGCTGGCTTGAGCGATCCACTTGATAACCAGCGTCGTAGTACAGTTTAGCCAGAGCGCGTATGTTTTGGATTGGGCCAACCGGCTAACTCCAACATATCCAGGTTAGGTTGAACCAGCTTCGTAGTACAGGCAGTAACACACAACAACCAATCAAATGAGGGAGTCAGCGTAAACGTTAACAAAATGTTTATTCCTTTGACAACAAGGAACTGGCCATAAATGCGAGGAGGAGGAGGAGATTGTGCCAAACAAAATAAATAATAACAAAACCAGGCCAATCTCTACACCTCACTATCTGAACTACTAACAACTGGACAAAGCAAAATACAGGGGTGACAACAATCCACTAACCTAGTGTGTCTAACATTTGTTACCTGTGATGAAATGACAGGGTACCCCAAACTTACCTAACTCCTCCACCTCCCACCACACACATTCACAAAGGTCGGAAAACAGAGTCCACAGTAGAATCAGCAACTAAACAAAACTGGGGTTACGTACTGTAACCCAGCTTCTATGAGTATAGGCGCAGCCCTCTAAGGCTATCGCTATTGGGTAATCCCACTGCGCATGCGCAGCACTGACAGACTTAATCCACGCCCACCTATGACGTGGGCCCCACCTACGGCCTCACTTCCGTATAAATAGGAAGTAGGCCCGACCATCTGCTCCCACACAAACAGCTTTTCTTCAGCTATTCGCGGAGCCAGTGGGGCCCGAACCTTAGAGGGCTACGCCTATACTCATAGAAGCTGGGTTACAGTACGTAACCCCAGTTCTATTTCGTATAGGCTTCGCCCTCTAAGGCTATCGCTATTGGGTTAAGGGCGAAGCAGGATGTAGTCCACGCCCCACTGGTCCGTCCGTTACCAGAAGTACAAACACACATCTACTCAATTAATAACCCATGCGTAAAGGAGCATCACAGTCCCTGGAAATATAGCATTTAAAAAAAAAATAATAATAATATTCTCTTTGAGAGAATGAAGGTGAATACCCGTCGTTTAAAAAAAGTAGAGATAAAAAAATCCCACTTGTTAAAACGATAAAAGAGGGAAAAAGGGGCAGCTCTCTGAGTGCCGACAGGCAGGAGAGAGGGCACACCGTTGAGTCCCCGACATTACTCAATCTGACAGGACACTCAGTACTGAATGTGTAAGAGGAATGGGACACATCCCTCAAATAAAAACGAATAAAAGAACGGGGAAGACCAAGATGCCGCAGTGCAAATGTCTTCCACTGTCATTCCTCCGTGCAAAGCCGTAGAGGTTGAAATTCCTCTGATGCTGTGAGCTTTGATGTTTTCCGTGGGATCCACCCCAGAGGAGACATACGCCTGTGACACAGCCTCACACAACCAGTGTGACAGGCGCTGTGCAGACAGAGGCTGCCCTATTGAGTGCTCTCTGTAATGCACAAACAGGCGCTGGGACCTGCACAACGTGGCTGTGCGTGCCGTATAGCATGACAGCGCACGTACAGGACAGAGGAGATGAGATGTGGCTTCTTCCTCCGATGTGAAGGAGGGAAGAAACCATCCAAAGTTATCACTCTCGATCTAAAAGAGCCTGTGATAACCTTTGGCATAAAAGCCGGGGTAGGGCGCAAAACAGCTGAGCTGCCATCTCCTTGGATCTGGAGACATGACGGAGCCACAGAGAGAGCAGACAAATCACTCACCCTTTTAGCTGATGTTAGGGCCAAGAGCAGAGCTACTTTGGCTGACAAGAACTTCAGGGGAACCTGATCCAAAGGTTCGAATGGAGCTTTACTCAGTGCGCGTAACACCAACACCAAATCCCATTGAGGCGCCAAAGCGCGTGACACCGGTCTGAGTGTCTGTACTCCCCGTAGAAAACGTGTTGTCAGAGGGTGACTAAACTCCATGCTGACACCAAACCCTACGTGGCAAGATGAAATGGCAGCAGCGTACGTTTTGACCGTGCTATAAGCCAAATTCCTGTCCAGTAACGTCTGGAGGAACGACAGCACGTGAGGCAGGGGGCACGTAACGGGGTCCAGGCTTTTCCCTACACACCAGCGCTGGAACGCTGTCCATTTGGCTGTGTAGGATGCTCTGGTTGACGCCGCCCTTGAACCCTGAATGGTACTGATAACATTTTTAGAGAGGCCCAGCCCCTCTAAATGTTCCCGTTCAGGGGCCATGCCCACAAACGTTGGCCCAATACTGGGTGACCGCTGATCGCTCCCTCCACCTGGGAGAGAGCGTCCTTGCGCCACGGAATTTCCCACGGTCTCCCTGACAGCATCCGCTGTAGGCATGGAAACCAGGACGCTCCCGTGCGTTCCGGTGCTATTAAGATCGCTGTCAGTCTCTCCTCCTGCACTCGGTCCAGGAACCGAGGGATCAGAGGGACTGGTGGGAAAGCGTATAACAACACCTTGGGTCACGGCCTGTGTGCGAACGCGTCCACGCCCAGGGGGGGGTGGTCCTGCGTTCTCAGGGAGAACCAGAGTGCACACTGCGCGTTCTCGCGTGCAGCGAACAGATCCAGCTCCGCTCTCCCGAACCTGCTCCATACCTGGGAGACCAGTTCGGGGTGGAGGCTCCAGTCCCCTTGGCGAGGACCTCCTCTGGACATGAGGTCCGCCCCTCTGTTCAACACGCCGGGAATATACACCGCTCTGATAGAGAGTACGTGTGTTTGCGCCCAGCACAGCAGCCGCCTGGCTGTGTTCAGCAGCTGCGCTGATCATACGCCTCCCTGGTGATTTATGTATGCCGCTTTGTTGTCTGTCCGAATCAACACATGTTGATTGAACAGCAAAGGGGCGAAGTGCTGGATTACTCTCCATACGGAGATTAACTCCAGCACGTTTATGTGGAGAGACATGCGAGCCGGCCACTGTCCCCCCACTGCCTGGGACATGCACGTTCCTCCCCAGCCTGCGAGAGATGCGTCTGTGAACACCGCGGTGTGTGACGTCACTCTGCCCAGGGGAACCCCCACTGACAGGACGTGGAGATTTTTCCAATAGGCTAAATCCGAACCCACGGAAGGAGGAATGTACACCATGCGTCTCTTCTGCCGCACGGGGTCGATGTGCAGGCGAATAAACCACCTCTGGAGTCTCCTCATGTGAAGGAGTCCCAGAGGGATCACCACGTGACCAGCTGACATCATGCCTAACAGCTGCATCACGGAGAGGGCTCTCACCGCCCTGCGAGGTGTGACGCGCCGGAGGAGAGCTGTCACTTTCTCCACTCTCTGCTGTGAGAGTTGCGCTCTCATGCGGGCTGAGTTCAGTTCCACTCCCAGATAAACGATAACCTGGGAGCAGAGATGGGGTCGTTACTAAAAAAAAGTAATATATTACACTACTTCGTTACTCTCTACATAAAGTAACTCGTTACTTTACTCGTTACTTTACTCGCAGGGCCGGCCCGCCCCTCCCTACAGGCAGATCACGCAGACTGCTAAAGTTTCAAATGTTCTCTTTAGTTCAGTTTCCATTGTCGCATAAGACTGATCCAGATAGCTCTGACCATGGCTGTCCTCTGTCTCCTGCTATCTGTATTTTGCGCAGTATATCTCTGAACGATGCGATGGTGATTCCACTGTGCAAATGGGCAACATTACCTCTACTATGAAGGATGCTACAAGCCTGTCCATCTCTGCTTTGGTTACCGGTCCTCCAAATTCTAATTTGTGCTGCTTCGGAGTCGGCGGCGGCGCACTCACAACAGCCTCACTCTGGGTTCGGGGGTCCTTAGCTATTAGCTTCACCTTAGCATGTGTTCTTTGCAGGTGTTTGTTGAGGTTTGACGTGGTGTTTACAGCAGTGGATAACAGCTTCTGGCCTGGACACAGTTTG